CTTGACTTGACTTGACTTGACTTGACTTGACTTGACTTGACTTGACTTGACTTGACTTGACTTGACTTGACTTGACTAGACATAGCATGAGCAGACCTGACATAAACAGACTAGACTCACCAACAGCGGGTTAAATACATTCAATACACCACGAGGGCACAATGGGAACATGAAGCTACTTATAGGAAACAAGAGGGTCACATAACAAGAACAAACCAATGGGAAACAAGACACATGACTAAGACAACCAATCAGAACATGACACAATGAACAAGGGAACCAATGGCATGAATACATGAGGGCAAGGGAAGCATGACACAAACAGGAACCATGAAACAATTACAAAATAAAAGACATGGAAAACATGAACATGAAAGAAAACACCACATTACAACTTATTGTGTTTTTACATGTTGTTCCATTGCACTTTTTAAAGAATGTGATTATTTATAATTACAACCCTATTAAATTACAATGTGTTTTAAACCTTCACAGCCTCAACAGCAGCAAGCACAAATCTTGTGAGAGTTTTCCAGAACAGCATGTATGTGCAAATGCATTAAATGCTTATTTTTGAAGTACAAGACACTTAACATAAAGTGGACTGATGGCTTTGCTATTGTCACAACTTGGTTGTTAAAGGCACAGGAAGAAGAAGATCAGGTTCAAAACGTTTTTGGATGATCCAAACAAAGAAGGCAAACTCAGCACAACCACAACACTGACAAGACTGGACAAACTGGACTGAAACAAGGGGAACTTAAACACACAGAGCCAACCAGGTATTAATGATATACAGCTGAACTGAAATAACTAATCACCTGTAACCATGACAACTAATAAGTGGCGTAAAAAACAAAGGAAAACAGGAAGGAATGAATACAAATTAAACACACATAACAGATAATTCGTTACAGCTACAGTGTCTTCAAGACATATTCAACCCCATGAATTACACCTATACTTTAACACTTTCCATGTTTGTCCACATGAATCATATTTTTTTATTCAATAAAAAAGAGACCTACAAGTTGCTGCAAAATTTAATTTGGATTTTTTTTCATTTTCAAATTGAAAAGTTAATTCAGAATCCCATTTTAATAGGCTTTAACTTGACTTTGCTACAGCAAAATACGAACTTGTTTTGTTGGATTGTTAGAGAACTAGCTCTCACATAAAGACACAAAAGGTACAAAAGCTGTCACAGGGGCGGAACCCTCTCAAAAGCTGTACCTTTTGAACCCCTAAAGGGTGCATATACAGTGGGGCAAAAAAGTATTTAGTCAGCCACCAATTGTGCAAGTTCTCCCACTTAAAAAGATGAGAGAGGCCTGTAATTTTCATCATAGGTATACCTCAACTATGAGAGACAAAATGAGAAAAAAAAATCCAGAAAATCACATTGTAGGATTTTTAAAGAATTAATTGGTAAATTCCTCGGTAAAATAAGTATTTGGTCACCTACAAACAAGCAAGATTTCTGGCTCTCACAGACCTGTAACTTCTTCTTTAAGAGGCTCCTCTGTCCTCCACTCGTTACCTGTATTAATGGCATCTGTTTGAACTCGTTATAAGTATAAAAGACACCTGTCCACAACCTCAAACAGCCACACTCCAAACTCCACCATGGCCAAGACCAAAAAGCTGTCAAAGGACACCAGAAACAAAACTGTAGACCTGCACCAGGCTGGGAAGACTAAATCTGCAATAGGTAAGCAGCTTGGTGTGAAAAAATCAACTGTGGGAGCAATTATTAGAAAATGGAAGACATACAAGACCACTGATAATCTCCCTCGATCTGGGGCTCCACGCAAGATCTCACCCCGTGGGGTCAAAATGATCACAAGAACTGTGAGCAAAAATCCCACAACCACACGGGGGGACCTAGTGAATGACCTGCAGAGAGCTGGGACCAAAGTAACAAAGGCTACCATCAGTAACACACTGCACCGCCAGGGACTCAAATCCTGCAGTGCCAGACGTGTCCCCCTGCTTAAGCCAGTACATGTCCAGGCCCATCTGAAGTTTGCTAGAGAGCATTTGGATGATCCAGAAGAGGATTGGGAGAATGTCATATGGTCAGATGAAACCAAAATAGAACTTTTTGGTAAAAACTCAACTTGTTGTGTTTGGAGGAGAAAGAATGCTGAGTTGCATCCAAAGAACACCATACCTACTGTGAAGCATGGGGGTGGAAACTTCATGCTTTGGGGCTGTTTTTCTGCAAAGGGACCAGGACGACTGATCCGTGTAAACGAACGAATGAATGGGGCCATGTATCGTGAGATTTTGAGTGAAAACCTCCTTCCATCAGCAAGGGCATTGAAGATGAAATGTGGCTGGGTCTTTCAGCATGACAATGATCCCAAACACACCGCCTGGGCAACGAAGGAGTGGCTTCGTAAGAAGCATTTCAAGGTCCTGGAGTGGCCTAGCCAGTCTCCAGATCTCAAAATCTAGAAAATCTTTGGAGGGAGTTGAAAATCTGTGTTGCCCAGCGACAGCCCCAAAACATTACTGCTCTAGAGGAGATCTGCATGGAGGAATGGGCCAAAATACCAGCAACAGTGTGTGAAAACCTTGTGAAGACTTACAGAAAACGTTTGACCTCTGTCATTGCCAACAAAGGGTATATAACAAAGTATTGAGATGCAATTTTGTTATTGACCAAATACTTATTTTCCACCATAATTTGCAAATAAATTCTTTAAAAATCCTACAATGTGATTTTCTGGATTTTTTTTCTCATTTTGTCTCTCATAGTTGAGGTATACCTATGATGAAAATTACAGGCCTCTCTCATCTTTTTAAGTGGGAGAACTTGCACAATTGGTGGCTGACTAAATACTTTTTTGCCCCACTGTAAGTACCTTAAAGGTATTATATATAGTATCTAAATGGTACATATTTGTACCTTCGGAACAGGCACCGCCCTACTGACAGCTTTACCTTTTTTTCTGAGAGTGTACTGCATTTCCAGAGTCCTGTCTGTATCCATATCCTTCACCACACCCAAACACATTCAGTGTTGGTGACATGCCCTTGAAGAGAAGGGAAGAGCTGAAGTCTGTAACCGGGGGGCATGCTTTCTTACGCACGGGGCGTGTGGAGACTTCTCTAGACTGGGTGTGGAAGCTGAGAAAACAAACGTGAATCATTCTGATCAATGTGTGACGGCGTCTCAGACACTCACTGCGTGTCATAGTTACTAACAGCGATACATTAAAACAGCTGACGAATGAAAGACATAACAGCATACTAGCAAATGTGAGAGCTTCGTGGGAAGATTAATATTAAATAATATACACTGTATAGCTTAGGGACCAGTTCTCACTATTAACTAGTTGCTTATTAGCATGCATGTTACTAGAACATTGGCTGTTAATGCCTTTTTATGCATATTTTAGCTCCATGAACCCTTCCCCATATCTAAACCTAACAGCTACCTTCTAACTATTGATAAGCAGAAAAGTAGGTCTTTATTGATACAAAAGTCATAGTTAATAGTGCAAATTGTTCCCTAATCTACACTCTTAAAAATAAAGGTGCTTCAACAGATTCTTCAAGCGATGCCATAGAAGAACCATTTTTGGTTCCACAAAGAAGCATTCAGTCAAAGGTTCTTTAAAGAACCATCTCTTTCTTACCTTTTTGTAATCTGAAGAACCTTCTTTCGCCCCAAAGAAGCTTTTGTGAAACAGAAAGGTTCTTCAGATGTTTAAGGTTCTTTATGGAACCATTTAGACAAAAAGATTCTTCTGTGGCATCGTGAAGCACCTTTATTTTTAAGAGTGTAAAGTGTTACCAGTAATTTAATAATATAATAACAAAATGTGATACAATAAATTCAACAACCTCAGTTAATGCACTAGGCACAATTAACTAATAAATGTTTAGCATTTCAATTAATTGTATTATTTATAATTAATAAATGCTGTATTTCTATTTATTTATTAGGGGTTAAACTATATTGCTACCTATAACTATTAGTAAGCAGCAAATTAAGGTGATTGAAGTCATAGTTAATAGTGAATCGTGCGAATTGGTCTCTAAACTAAAGTGTGGCCAAAAACATATATCAAAACAATGGTCACACTTTAGTTTGGGGAACAATTCTCACTATTAACTAACTATTATCTATGGCTTTTGCCTCAAGAAACTCTTAATTTGCTGTTTACTAATAGTTAGTCGTTATTGACTATTAGTAAGCAGCAAATTAAGGGTTATTGAAGTCATAGTTAATAGTGAATCGTGCGAATTGGTCTCTAAACTAAAGTGTGGCCAAAAAACATATATCAAAACAATGGTCACACTTTAGTTTGGGGAACAATTCTCACTATTAACTAACTATTATCTATGGCTTTTGCCTCAAGAAACTCTTAATTTGCTGTTTACTAATAGTTAGTCGTTATTGGGGTGGATTAATGAATCTGGAATATGGTCATGCAGAATGAGGCATTAATATGTGAGCCTGCAGCACAAAAGCAGTGTTGAGTCGCTGGGGGATATTTGTAGCAATAGCCAACAATACATTGTATGGGTCACAATTATACATTTCTCTGTTATGCCAAAAATCATTTGGATCTTAAGTAGGCTTAAGATAGTTTAAGTAAATGTCCTACCGTAAATATATCAAAACGTAATTTTTGATTAGTAATATGCATTGCTAAGAACTTCATTTGCACAGCTTTAAAGGCGATTTTCTCAATCTTTTGATTTTTTTTTTTTTGCACCCTCAGAATCCAGATTTTCAAATAGTTGATTATGCTTTATAAACAGCCAATATGCTTGTATGCATGCTAATAAGCAACTAGTAAATAGTGAGAATTGGTCCCTAAACTAACGTCTTACCAAAACAATACTGTCTTTCGGTTTGTCTTGTATGTGTGTGTTTTGTGGTATGTTGAGTACAGGACACACGTCTGACTCAGTCCCTGGTTCATCTGGGGAGTGACGCGTCAGCACACGTCTGGGGCGTTTCTCTCCATCTTTAAGAAGCACACCTGAGCGCGATGCGGGTTATTTCACAGGAATGTCAGGATCAGTGGCGTGGAGGAGTGCGGCTCTGAGGGCCCTCGCGCTCGGGGCCCTGCTGGCGCTGGTTTCTGGGGGCCCCAGACCCGAGCACAGGAGGGAACACGCAGAGTGGACGCAGAGAGTTCAGTATCCGTCTCTTCACGACACACAGCGCGTCCAGATCCCTTCAGTGGACGATCCACAGGTACAGAGACAGATCTGATGCATCTTTGTGAATGAAAACGAAATTTTGTCTTTAATTTCTTTCAGCTTTCATAATTGCCGAAACCGATTTGTTTAATTTCTATACTGTATACAGAGGTATGAAGTATAAGTACACTGAAGAAAACACTCAGAAATTGCTAGTAAATTTCATAAACCATTACAAAGAAATTAAAGTAAAACATTGCAAAATGTTACTTCGAAAAATAATGTTTTACAGTTTTTTTGGACATTGTGTACATTAGATGATTAATACTTTTTACTCGTTCAGACGTCAATATAGACACTCGTTTTGATTTTAGATAAGCTAAAATGAAAATGGAAAATAAAAAATACAAACTGATTTAGACTATTAATAAAAACCATAACAGTATCTCAATAATACTAAAATAACCATGCATTGGACGTACCTTATCCACTCAGTTCAGTATTTCATTATTTTTGCCCTCACTTTTGTTTCGTGTATATTTTACCATTAATCCAAAGCTTTGAAAGACGTTTATTTATTTAAACAAACACCCAGTTCTGCTTGTTTCTCTCTTGTTAGAGGTCTTTTATTTAGACCACTTGAGTATCAAAGTCATGACTTAAAATGCATGCTATTTTTTCAGTCAGATATGCTCATATGCTGCTGAACGTTTATAGCCAATGACATTCATTTCAGCATAAATTGTATGGTCATGAAGAGATTTTTCATAGATCACTAAAGCTATAGAGTTATAGACATAGCTGAATGTAACTGAAGTGTAGACGATTTCAGATAAATTAGATCAATACCTAATATGTGATAGCCTGGCATTGCGAACTGTGATTTAATTTGACGAGTAAATGATAAAAAAAAGAAAAGAAAAGATTAACCATCCCCTTGAGTATAATTAAATGTGGAAAAAAACAATGTGTGACCCTGGAGCACAAAACCAGTCATAAGGGTCAAAAAAGCTGAATAAATAAGCTTTCCATTGATGTATGGTTTGTTAGGATCGGACAATATTTGGCTGAGATACAACTATTTGAAAATCTGGAATCTTTTAAACAGAGATGCTCTGCTGGTTTCTATCTGGACAGAAGTGGTCTGATTGCTCGTTGTGTTCGCTGCTCCTGTAACGGTTTCTCTAACGAGTGTGAGGACAACACAGGCCGCTGTCTGGTAATAATGTGCTCTGTCTTCAGTATTGCTCCATGGATTTGTGTTTAGTTTAGTAACACGAATGCTCTGTGTAACAGAAGTGCGGTGATAATACAGCAGGTGATCACTGTGAGCGCTGTAGAGACGGATTTTACTCAAACGCTGCTCAGAGGAGATGCAGCGCGTGCCCATGTCCTCTCAGCAACAAGTAAGACCCACATCTGTGATGGAAACAGCACTGACCTGTTGTCTTTAATAAGACAAAACACTGCAGACAAAAACATTGTTGTTTTGATATTTTGGGCTTTTTGGCTTTTCATGTTGTTACAGACTAGTGGACAGAAAACATACAAAATACACTTTTGTGTGTTTATTTTATTGCACTTTATCTATATGCAGTTACAGCCACTAACATATTCATCAGCACTGATAATAATCAGAAATGTTTCTTGAGCAGCAGATCAGCATATTATACTGATTTCTGAAGATCATGTGACACTGAAGACTGGAGGAATGATGCTGAAAATACAGCTGCGCATCACAGAAATACATTACAGTTTAATATATATTCACACGGAAAACTGGCATTTTAAAATGTAATAATATTTCACTTTTTTACTGTATTTTTGATCAAATAAATGCAGCCTCTGTGAGCAGAAGAGACTTTCTGAAGGGTTTTACTGAGGGGTTTGTTCATATATCATTCACCTGATTTTATGCAACATTTTATTCCTAAAAAAATCCAAAATCCCCTCTGTAAAAAACTTTAACTCTAATAATTAATCATTTTTGTTCTGGAAATGTATGCAAAAGTGCATATTTAATAGGATAATGCCTCATTTGAATATTCAGACATAACATTTCAGAAAACATGTTTGTAATCGATCAGCTGAGGAAGTATGGTGATATCCGTTATTAAGTGGATATTGTGCCCACTATTTATATAAACGTAAATATACCTAATAAAACAGTGCATTTATGTCGTGAAGTAATGATGGCCTCTCTTTCTGCAGTTTTGCTCTGGGCTGCACTGAAACCGATGGCAGACTTCTGTGTCTGTGCAAAGACGGTTACACGGGCGAAAGATGTGAGCGGTGAGTGATCCACTTTCCTAAACTTCCCAAAACTGATCTTTC